AAACAACATTTTCACCGGTATAAGTTGCAAACTGTCTGCCCCTATAGAGACAAAATGTTAGGTGTGCCAATGTACAGCGTGTTATTAAATGGGAATAAATAATTATAATATGAATAATTTATCCAGAACACCATTCAAAATTTACAAAAACCATATAATCTGTGTGTTACAAATAATGGTGAACACTTTAAACGTCTTTTAGAAAAAAACTTGGATTTGTCTTTAAGTTATACCTAATTAGGTATAGGTACATTATTATACAGATAACTAATTTTCATGTAAAAAAAATGCATTTTGAAAATGTTAATGACGGCCAATTTTTCAATTAAGTAGACTATGAGTGTTTTGGAATCAGCTTTTAAGGATAATTAAAAAAATATACAGGGTATGCTAATAAAAAACGTGCCATAATGCTTTCACTAATTTTTGGAACACCCTGTATTTTCATTCATATACATGGTGTTCTTTTTAATTGATTTTACGATTTTATAAAAGAAAATATGTCCGAATAAATCATAATCCGTGTTTAAAAATCTTACTGTGCAAGAAAAACTATTAGTATAGGAACATGTATGGAGAATTAATAGGTAGAATAAGATGGTAAAAATATCCCTCCCAATTTAAAATAATTGAGTTAGTTACGATGATGGTATGACCACTCTTAATAAATAATATTTTTTTGTATGTGGAAAAGGTGGGTCATTTTAAAATTTTTAAATTAAGGAGAGAAGGAATAAAAAATAAAAAAGTCGGTAGAAAAGCGGTTAGGGTGGGCCACTTCTAAGTTTTGCCCAGAGGGCCAAATGATCTCCAGTCCGACACTGAGTATGTTCCACTTCAAAATAAGAAAGTTGGGACACACTTCCTGTATAACCGGATGTGATACAGGGTTGTCAATATCTTAAATCGCTATAACTCCTCAACTTAATTCTGAACCCAAATTTTCAGTTTCAAAGAAATGGAAACCCCAAAAACTTTAAATCAGCGCGTTTCGTGAATGACCCTTTATGCATGTCAATGGACCCAGCTAATGACGGAACACATATTTATTATTATTCTACAAACTAATCAATAGTAACTGAAAATATTCTACATTTTAAATTTGTTTTTCTATTACCTTTATTTTTAACTCCACAATAGGTGTTTATAAATATTCCACAAACTAAAAATACCAATATTATGCATACCTACCTATTATTTGCATATTCTCACATTATCACATTTCAATTACCTTCTAGCCCACATGCTTGATTATTGTATCTGGAAAAAGTCGAATATTTTTAATACTAAAATACTTAGAATGGTCCAGAATATCGATACTCTAAATTTAAGAAAAAAACTGTATGTCGGTCTGTAATATATTTTGGCATGATAACTCGAAAATGCCTTAATAAAATTGTGGGTGCTACGTTGGATTTAAAAAAAAAGGGTGAATATTTTAAATAAACTTGTACTCGTGCACAATACAAAATATTAATTTGAACTTATGTACACGTTTTAAACGGCTATATTTCGGATACAGTCGAACGACGCCTTGGGGAAAATATGATCGAACTACACTGCTGGCCACTTGAACTTACACATAGAGACTTTTAGGCAAAATTTAAAGTTCAATATTTTCAACAGGAATGCAAATTTTTGAACGCGACTTGCATATTTTAAAAGCTAGTTTTTTTTCGGATTTAGCTGCATGACGTATATTTATCGTAGGACCAAAGGTTTATTATATACGGGGCGATCAATAAAGTCATGCAAAAAATCAAAAAGTTTGTATTAGTGAAATTTCCGCAAAATTTTTTTTGGTCGTTGCAATATGTTTCGTTACTAAGGTAACATCAATATCTCTAGACATTTTTGTCAGTTTTTTTATTAGGGCCCTTAGGCCTTGTACACACTACTTAACATAAAATTTGGGTAGCAAAATTTTTAAAATGCTATAAATTATTTATTAAAAATTATATATAAATTATTTATTAAAAATTACCAGAATTAGAATTATAATTTTTTTAAGAATTGACTTTTGGCCGTAGTTAACCAATCTTGTATATTGTACAATATAATGTAATAAACTTGTTCTTGTCGCTACGTTTTTGTTTATTATCGACCCAGTATAATGTGTAAATTTCAACACTCAAATAAAATGCTTGGACCATAGAAAATCTACGTGAAATAAATATTCCAAATCCGGCAAAAATCATCAAGAACCGTCAATCCAATGTCAATTTATGGCATTTAAAAATTTTGCTACCCAAATTTTATGTTGGGTAGTGTGTACAAAGCCTAAGGGCCTTAATCCAAAAACTGACAAAAACGTCTAGAGATATTGATGTTACCTTAGTAACGAACCATATTGCAACGCCAAAAAAAATGTTTTGCGGAAATTTCACTCATACAAACTTTTTTGTCCTACGACAAATATACGTCATGCAGCTTAATCCGAAAAAACTAGCTTTTAAAATTTGCAAGCCGCGTTCAAAAATTTGCATTCCTGTTGAAAATATCGAACTTTAAATTTTGCCCTTTAAAAGTCTCTATGTGTAAGTTCGAGTGGCAGTGTATTTAAAAGAGTTTCCTCAAATTTTATAGCAAACGTTTTAGTATGTAGGCAAACGCTTTTTACAAAGTAATATGTATCTAATTTTCAAGATTTTTTGTAGTTGTTGTCCATTAGATGATAATTATGTTAATTGTTGCTAGCTATAACCTTATAGTGGGGGGGGGGGGGCAGATATTGAGAAACAGAGTTTATTTTATTAAATAATACAAAATCGATAAAACAGATTCATAAATCTTATGAATCCCTAACATCATGAGTCTAGGGAAAGAACAAATATTTACATGTTGCCCTATTTTATGATTATCTTCGTCGTATCACAATTAATGGATTAGAGTTTCGTTGGAGTTTGAAGGAAGGAAGTTTTAAATTGATTTTTTAAATTTCAATAGCCACATTAACAATGTTATAAGTGTTTCTTTACATTGCCTTTAATATACTCGTTAATGTCTATACATACTAATAAACCCCTTTTTCTAGTACCTGTTTAAGTATAAATAACAAACCTAGATGTGGCAGTAGTGATTCCTTAGTCTTAGGTAGCGATATTTCTATTGATGAAGCCTATCTTGAGCTCCTGTAAATAACTAAAGTAAATAGCGCTAAAATAAAATGTATACATCTCCAAAAATTAACTTTCACAATCTATGATTTCAAAATAATGTTGACATATCTCTTTTATTAGGTAATACTCCTAGTACTAATAGTACACAAATCCTGCGTTGGTGTGTCATACTTATTTCTGTAATATTACTTCACGATTCAAGTGTATTCTCGCCGAAAACCTCATAAATATTAATTCAGTATTTGTGACCTTATTTCACTGTTATTTATAAATTACATTTAGCCACGGATACACAGGTTGGCCTACCTGTTTTCTCTGCGTATGTCTTATATGTAGTACTGCGTGTACAGCATTTATTTGTATCTTGTATACAAAAACATATTGCTAAAAAAATGTCAACTTTCGCCTTTTAATATTTTCTCCAGCAATAACCGAGTTGAAATTAAAAAGGGATTTAAGTATTTAAGTACATTATTTTTTTATTCGGATCGAATAAATCCAATTACTTTTTTTATCGAAAACATTAAGTCACAATCTTGAACATTGATGAAAGGTGATTATTTTATTTTAGGTATGTTCGGGATAGTTTGGAGTTTGGACCCTTTTAAAAGATGTTATTACAAATGAGTTTAATATAGACCTTTAATAATTATAACCTAATTACGGTGATTGGTTCCATAAGTAGCACGTAATTGGTCTAAAAATTGGTCGAAGAAGGATTCTGATAATACGTTCATGGTTTTTAGTTATGCAAATATATACAGTGTGTCCTGCTTAAAGACTAGCAACCGCTGTAAATCGCTATTTCTTGGCCGATTTGGATACTTTTTCTGCATAAATGTGGTTTATACAACTACAGCCCCTTTTTGATCTAAATAATCAAAATATATTCTCTTTAATTCTATCATCCATTGCTGATTAAAATAATACAAGTAATGGTAACAACCCTTACATGTACTAATTTTTTATGAAGTTTTATACAAAAACCACACTGTATGTAATTGAAATAAATAAATTTATTTTGGGTTGCTATTAGGCACCGTGTGGTATTCTTATAGGAGAGCTAAGTGAAAGTTGGAGTAGCAAGTCACCGGCAATTAAATTAAATGACACAGAATATGATCGTGAAATAAAAGAATAGGTCGTCTCGGCCTCTTATAGGTTGTTATCATTATGACTTATCAGAGATGCTTTAAAGAAATGATGCATGGCTTTTTGGAATAAGACAGGTGATATAAGAGCTGGCATAGCTACATTCTGTCAAAATATTTTTAAGAATTCTTGTACGGCAGTGACGCGTAGTGTAAGACGTAGCCCCATCCTGCTGAAACTATAGCTAACCAATTGGAAAACCGTTGTAATAATTTGCGTTTGTCCTCTAGCATGTACTAAAACATGATTGGCTTTATTTTAGCTCGAGGGCCCCTCTAAAAACATATGGCCTCAATAAGTGGCCCTCTAACATTGCATCCTAAATACGCGCCTGTGTTTAAACTGTGAGCCTTTAAAATTAAATTACTGTAGAGCCTTATTACAAACTACGAACCGATTAAATTTAACAAAGCGTTAATGGGGTTTAAAAATTACCGGTCCGAAGTGTACCACGACAGACCGACTTAAAATAAAAATGATAAATGCTTAGTTTTATTTCCATAAATAAAATAATATACCTACCTAGGTGTAAATATCTAAAGGGTTTTGTAGGTCTAATTCCTTATAACTTTTTTTGTAGGCTCTAAACCACCTCCACCATTAAGAGGAAACAGGCTTCGTTTATACAGCAACCGATTTTGCCCGTATTCTCAAAGGGTACATTTAGTTCTTGATGCAAAAAAAGATTCCGTAAGTACTTTTATACTATTAATGAATGTTACTTTATCAGCCGAAATAGCTCAGTTGGGAGAGCGTTAGACTGAAGATCTAAAGGTCCCCTGGTTCGATCCCGGTTTCGGCACAACTTTTTTCATCGAATTAATCATTTAAATTATAAAAAATACTTTTAACGTTTAACAAGAAAATTATGTATCAACTTATAGAATAATAATGAAAACAAAATTTATATTTAGATCGGAATATGTTCAACAGACTGTAAAAAATGCTGTTAACGTTTTGTAATACCTATTTTTATCTTGAATTGAGTTCATGCCTGATTTAATCTCATCTTCCGTAAATAACAGAAGAAACAGGATCTTCATTAACACTAAGAAAGCATACATTTATTTGCATATTAGAATAGTCTATTAATCATACAATTAAACAATTTTTGAATTGCTGTGAATTGCAGAACACCAGTAGGTACTTAATCTTAATATTCACAATAAAGAATTTTATAATTTACTGCATGTATGGTTACATAAAAATAAAGAATTTATATCACACAGGTATGTACACGTTTATATGACATATACAGGTTATCCGGGAATAGAGTAGGTACTTATATTTCGGAAGGCGACTCCTTAGGTCAAAATAAGAAAAAAGTTCCCAATGAACATTAGTCCGGAAATTATTTCTAGCTAGAGCGCTTCGAAGATGGCGCTAAACAAATGATTTTTCTAAATATCTCGGAAGCTAGCTAAGCAACATGAATACAATTTTGCTCCCGGGGTTATTGGTTATTATTTACTACAAATCCACTGGCGTTATTAGAAAATTTGTATCACCACCAGTGGCGTAGACTCAAAGGGGCTCGATTAAATATGCGATTTTTCTTGTGTTTTAAGAAAGTATTGTACATTTGACAGCAAAAAACAATTCTCTGGCATTTTTACAGAAAATATGCCCTCTTGCTGAAAAGTCGTAGCACACAAATTGTTCTTAAAGTGAAATAATATGTGAGTTTATTCGTTGTTCTCCATCGCAGACGTCTGTAGAAATAAACTAGGTTAAACTAGGTGGGTTAAACTAGCCGCGTGAGTAAGTCCACTCGTCTCTCATCGAGAAAAGCTATTGAGGTGAGTTATAGATTCCGATGGGAATTGATATGCAACCGCGTGTGGTTGCTTTTATTTAGGATTATTTATTATATTATGCCCATATGCAACTTTACTGAGCTCAATTATTATTATTAGGAAGCAGACATTTATAAAAGGAAGGTCTCAATTAATCCCCGTGTATACTAAGGGACTAAAATATGCCTATCTCTTAATTTCGATGGTAAAGTTTGTTGCTCGAGCGTTAGTGGAGGGCAAACAATCATCCGAGGAATAAAAAGAGCCCCAATATAATATAATAAATATAACTATTTATTTTTCTCATCGCCAGTATTTTGACTATTTATTTCTGTTCCAGATATGATGTGGTTAACATAAATTTGTCAAATAAACCTGACTGGTTGTATGACAAAAACCCTCTTGGAAAAATACCTGCCCTCAAGTGGAGACAGGTGATGTCTTATATGAAAGCCTGATAATTGCGGATTATCTGGATGAAAGATATCACCAGCACCTTTTACACCCCAAAGATCCACTTCAAAAGGCCAAAGATAAATTACTGATAGAACAGTTTAATAGGGTAAAGTTGGATACCATTGATGATAATAGTTTTATTTTACTATTAAGGGTAGATTTACATTCATTATGACATACTAGAACTCTGTGCATTTATAATTTAGAAAATGTATTTCGCGGTCAATACGATGAGGTGACCTGTTACACATGCGCTGTATGTTAGGTCTAGTCGCAAAATTATATTGGTGATCCTGCGATTCCTGCGTTCGAAATTTCGCTATATTTACAAACCAGTGTCGGACTGTGACAATCCGGGGCCCTAGGCTACTTGCATTTATTGGGCCGACTCAAAAGACCAATAGGTATGCATGGGACCCCGTTTCGAGACCCATAGTGGTGGTGACGACGGCCCCAGGCTGTAGCCTACATTGTCTACTGGCAGGGCCGTGTGGTAGATTGAAGCGGTGCGGTAAGGCGACCGCCTAAGACGGCATTTCGGTTTAATAGGGTGACTTTTTGGCTTATTATTTTAAGAAGTGGTTGAGTTGGAAAATTGTTATACAGTGTTAGGTACCTATAGAAAACCAGAGAAAGGATTTTTTTATTTTAAAAGTATTTTTCATAAATATTTTCCACAGGGCGCCAAAATTCAGTTGAAAATACACCACACGGCAATGCCTACTGGTTGGTCCGCCACTGTTAAAAACTGATAGGTGGCACTTAATAAAATTGTTTTGTATACTTTAGGATACTGATTAAATAATACAGTGTAGCTGTCTGTATTTAAAATAAACGAATAATATAAATCAGAAATACCTACGTATGTTAATGTTATGCCACTGCATACGCATACCTTATACCCAACTCTGTACCTACATCTCGTAACCAGGACTAGATCATAACGCTTTAGAATAAAACCAAATCTACCATTAAAAATCTCACTATTCACTTTGACTAAATTAGGCTCCAAAATTTAAATATTATTCACAATAATAAACACAAAATGACAATACAATTCAGGTGAAGATGTTAAGCAGAGACGCAATTCTCCTTGCTCCCCTCATTGCCCGTAAAAAGTGGACTGGTAGACAAATCCGACAACACTATTATAATTAGTCCTAGTAACTAACACGTGACGCCACTGGTTAATGAATTTAAATTTTAAGCTGGGATAATTATTTTTACAAGTACCTAACTAACAACTTACAGAAAACATATCACCATTTCTCCTAGTTTCTCATAGTCTTTCTGTCCATCTGCATACTTTTTTTGTAGATATTGTAGGTGTACATGAAACAACCTATTGAAGATTTAGAAGGATAAGGGGTCTATATAACACTTTAAAACCCAGTTTTTTTACATAGAAAAAGGATTTATGTACACGAAATTCTTATCAGCTAAATATATAAGGGTAAAATTTACCTTTATAAATTTATTTTTAAGTTATACTCATGAATAGAATAGAACATTTATTGATAACAATTTCTAATTTTTTTACAATTATTGGTATAACAGATATAAGACGGAAATTAGTTACATCATTGATATCACCTTTCTTATGAATAGACACCACCGTAGAGATTTTTAAACATCGGGAAAGATCCCTGTTTTAAAATATTCATTTGCAAAATTAATATAAAAGAGGTATGACAAGAAAATCAATAGTCAATAGTTTGTTTGATAATTCTGATATTACCTAATATAAAAAAAATATTAAAGCTCGTCGAGTTCTTTAAAGCCATTTTAAACTTCAACATAAGTAACTGGCTCAAGAAGACATTAGAGTGCTGTATTTTGTTCAGGCGCAGATCCAGGGGGGGCAATGGGGGCAATTGCCCCCCTGAGCAAGTTCAAGATTTTTAAATCAGTACGTGGTATGTCGTTTTTTTTTTAGCTAATTTTGTGGAAGATAAGGGTAAAATCACAAATTGCCCCCTCCTCAACGAAATCCTGGATCCGCGCCTGATTTGGTTTGGTTGGCACATTATTTCGAAAATCTGCTGCTTTATTGCCGATACTTGGCAAAGTGTTATTGATGGCATTTATTGATATTGACGCAAAAGATATGTTGAAATCTGAGGCAATTATGTTTGCTGAGGAAAAACTAGAATCGCTATTTTTTTCATGGTTTAGTCTCCAATAGTTTTAAATTTTTTTGAATTCATAGTAAGCATTTTTCTTAGCATTAAGTTTTAATTTTCTATAGTTACTTTGTAATAGTTGATAAACTGATATACCGTCCCATATAATAACACATTACACTTCAGTTTTCCACACTGTTTCAGTTTTCCATTGTTCCAAAGGGTCTTTACGTTTTTTCCTTCGTATCATTGTATTGGTAGTACCTATACAATTATACAAAGGAAAAGGGTTAGAGTCTTTGTTTAATAACAGTTTTAGGTATTACCTTCAACAGATTTATCCAAAGACCGTTAAGTCTTAAAAATTAAGAGTTCTAAATTTTTATATGTTATATTCAGTTCTATCTACAGTAAACTAAACAAGTATACCAATAGTTTTCGTTTTGTTTTTGATTTATAGGTAATAAATACAATGTATAGGGTAATGATGAACGTTGGAAGAATTAGTCTGGACGACGACGAAGCTATTTCAAGTGGACTAACTACATTTGAAAGAGAACTTTCCAATAGGAAAGGTCCTTTCTTTGCGGGAAATAGGCCAGGAATGTTGGACTACATGATTTGGCCATGGTGCGAAAGGGCTGACATACTTAAATTATTTGGCAACCAACACCTTTTGAGAAGAGAGAAGTATAGAAAACTGGTAAGTAGATATATTCGTTAGGTATATAAAATGAAAGACCTAAAACTAAGTTATTACAGCCCGACCGGCCAAAGAAATCCGGCGGAAAGTATGTAAATTAATAAATTAATGTCACAAATATTATGTATACAGGGCAGGAAATAAATTAATTGTTTATCATTGCTATCTTGGAGGTGGTAATAAAGATACAAGGGTTACTTGTAGTAGAACAGAAAAAAAAGTAGAAAGTAGAACAGAAAAACGAAAAATTGTGTTTATTTAAATTTGGAAGTAAGTACAGTAGAGTCTCGACAACGTGAACTGGACGTGAACTAATTACGGTCAATTGTATTCACATTTTCGAGAAGATCATTATACTGAATAGGTAATTTTTTTTATCTAAATATAATGTGGAAAACACTTTTAAAATATGTTCTCGCAACAATGTACCTACCTAATTTGTAAACCAAATACATTACAAAAAAAAGAAAGAAGCAACAAAAGTAACAAAAGTGAAAATGAATATTAAATTCAGTTATAACTAAACTTCTCGGAATATAATAAAATCCGTGCGTTTTAGCGCATGGAATATTTTGGAGTTCACATTTTTGTACCTATATACGGGCATAAAACCAAATCGCCTATTCAGGATGTTCATGACTACTTTATTATATTTTAATAAAATTTTTTAGATAATATAGTATTTTGTTGGTGTTTTTAGAAAGAAATGAACACAAAAGAAATA